TGTTTCACCGTTTCACCTTTACTGTCCATAATCTAAAAACTTGGCATTGACATTTTATCAAGAAATTTTGGTCATTACAACAACAATTAAGTTTTACTTTTTGGGATAGGTGGGGAGTTCCTCTTCTGAGCTTTGCACACCATCCGTGTCGACCCCCTTCCCTAACGTCATGGTCACCCGAAGGCGTATGTGTGTGATTAGGTGCTGTATCAATTCAATTAGTCTTTCTGTATTCTGTATTCTCTTAACTACCTAATTTTCTTTGGCAATTTTCATGGTTTGTGTAGTGTTAAATGGTTTTGTCCATTTAGATCATTTTATTAATTTTTTTAATTATTTTTTACCAGTCTTAGCACGGGCCGAGTTTCTTTAAAAAAAAAAATTCTCATTTACATTGGTACAATTTCAGATTGAGTGTCTGTGTCTTGAATTTTGTATTCTGTATCTTCTAGCACTTCGTCGTCTTCAGTTTATACAAGTCTCTTTTTTTTCCTTTCGCTTTCATCAGAGGTTGATTGTGATTGATCTATTTGAAATGGTTGATTTAAGGATTTTCGTGCTTTCTTTTTGCTTTCTTTATTTTGTGTGGTTCATTTCTCTGTTTTGAGTTTTAAGTCCTTTCAGCATGTTCATTTTTTTTGTCCTACATGTTTTCCCTTTCTTTTCTTGGTGTTTCTGTTCTTTGTCGCTTTGTTGTTATTGGTGATGGTGGTCTTGTTCTTGTTTTCATTTTTGTTTGTCTTTTAGTTGCTGTTCAATTGTCCCTTTTGTTGTAGTTTGATGTTTTTGGTTGATTCAGCGGTTTCAATTGTATTTCTTCTTTTTGCTTACTTTGTTATGGTTATAGTAGTTGTTTCCCTTTTTCTCTGTTTCGTGGTTTTGGAACTGGTACATTTTCTTCTTTTCGCTGTATAGCTTTATGTTTGGAAAATATGGTGGTTTCACTAATTGGAGTAATCTTTCCTATTTGTTCTTTAGTTGTTTGGCATGGGGGAGGGCCACGTTTCAACATTTTTTACATTTTAAATGGTATATACAACCCTTATACCATGTTTTTGCGATGAATCCGTGAAGAAAAAACACGTTTTTCATTGTCCTGAGCTTTTATGTTTCTATTTCCAGGATTCTAACTCCATTTTTAATGGGAAATCCAGGGTGTGTATCTATTCTTACTTTTGTGACCGTGATTTTGAACTTTTTAAAAAATCTTTTCACTGTGGCTTCTAATGGTATTTCTAGCGGTATATCTGATATATGTAGATCAGCTGTTTTGTTTATCTTCCTTAGAAAAGGGTGCTGATTCTCTTATGTTGAAAATTTGCCATCTAATATCCATCTTTCCATAAGATACTATTGGCACATTTCCTTTTTGTCTTAGGACATATCTGTATTCACCCTTTTTGTTCAACGCCTCAGCGAGATTGATAAAGTCTTTATTTATTCTCAAAGCTACCATCACTCTTGTCATGCTATGTCTATTCTCTGCTGCTATATCATGTTTATCTCTTGTATTCCTTGTTTATATGAACATTAAAAAAAAAACAACTCTGTTGTCTGTTGTCTCAAATTGTTTTGTTTCAAACTACTTATCCAACTCAGATAATTCTGTATGTTGTGACATTCTTGTTGTTGTCTGTGCAATCCATGATTACAGTTCACTCGTTATGAAATCTTCGTAATTTGTGTTGTTTTATACTTTTATCTATAATATTCCATTGATTGTATTCAATCCTGTAAAAGCAGCAGCAGCAGCAGTAGTAGTAGTAGTAGAAGTAGTAATAGTAGTAGTAAGCTTCCATTTCACATTTCTAGTAGTGAGGACTTTTTCGCTGTTTGTTTAGTTAGAGCCAAGTTATACGTTTGGATGAAGACTTTCCTTCTCGAAAATGAGTGCCAGAAGTTAGTATTACAGGTGTTAAAATACGTCAATACACAAATAAAAATATATGGCTATACACATAGTAATGTCTTTGAAACTGTGCCACAAGTGAGACAAAAAAGTATCTTCAGTACTTTGTCACTAAATGACGCTTTGACTTGGGTAAGTTTCTATTTAGGTAGCTTTTGACTTGATTACGTTTCGATCAAGGTACATTTTGACTTGGGTAAGTTTCTATTTAGGTGGCTTTTGACTTGATTACGTTTCGATTAAGGTACGTTTTGACTTGTGTACGTGATGACTCTAAATGAACCTACTGAGATCACATTTTCATTCCGTGATCCCGTTACACAACAATTGACTTGCTTTAGCTATTGCAAAGATTGTGGATCAAAATTTTATCTAAAATTATGCTATAATAATCATTTTATAGTATTTTGCAAGAAGAAAACAGCAACAAAAACGTGTTAATGTATTCATTTTGTGTGTATCTCCCAATATAACAGTTCTTGCATCTGGCACAACATCTACATTCATTTTATACCGAATGCAGAGGGACATACCAGACCACAGTCTGTTTATTGCATTACAGTCACAAATGCAACATTTTTTAGAAATTTTTTTTTTACAAAAGTACATTTATTTGTATTAGACAATAATAGTTGATTCTATTGAATAACACCGAATTGAAACCTTTGCAATATTGAATTTCTTTTGATTGTCAACACTTATCATATATTTCAGGACACAAACTGTATTCAAATTGAAGATTTTATTTCTTTTCACTAATTGATAAAACATTCGTTTTTAAAGGTGATTTGTAAAAGTCTCAATACCCTTTATTATGAACATACAATTTCCTTGTAGAAAGGGATATATGTTCTGGCCAGTGTAGTTAATATTACATCTAACATTCAACGCATTTACTCATTGAATTATAACTTTAAATGAAAAGAAATTGGTGCTGAGATGATATCAATAATATCTAAACACCAATGATATTCAATAATAGTTTTCTAATCCGTAAGTAGATTAGAACAGATTATGTTCAATGCAATTTTATGAAAATTAGTACGTTGTTAACCTTTATAAGTGACTTCATCCATAAATCTGTTTGCATAAAAAATATATTCTTGTTTGGGTATATTTTCTCTATCAACTATTTTCAGCCCAATAAAATATCACGCCAAAACATTTTGGTTGGATAATGTCTTTACGCTTTCATCTCTTAATGAGAACTGATATTTAATCTCTCATATTTAATATTCACATAAGTTGACCAAGTTTCTATTAGACAGAGAAACTCTAGGAACCAATCCTATTTTTACTTTGCAAAATAAATATAAATTTATCAATATCTACGTTAAGACCCTATGACCATAAGCTTAGTACCAGAAAAAAAGCAAAACTGACAAGTTTTGTAAAACTTAAGAAATAATGTAATTATCAAAGTTATAAAATGAAAATGACAGGAAAACTTATAGTATCATGAATCGAATCAAAACTAATCAAAAAATATATTTAAGTACAAAAGAATCGAATATTCCGAATGAATTTAAGATCCTCGAATACACTTGTCTGTCAACAGTCCTGATGTATCAAAACAGCATTGTCCAGAACTTCTTTGTATAATTCATAATAATCCCAGAATAATATTTAGTCCAATGAGCGCATTGTAGTTCTAATGAATAATCTAAACAAATGTTTTCTCTCAAATACGTCGGAAGTATTGGTGCTACAACAAGAACATAGGAAATAAAACTGACTAAAACTGTCCAGTTCCACACTTATATACGAGTATAAGGGGTGAAAAGGTATCTTACCACTACACATATCTCACATCTTAAAATAACCCAGCAGACTTAACCCATCCAATGGAAAATAACTTAATTTTTTAAGAACTTACCTGCCTCCACCAGCCAATAAAAAATTACCCCAAAGTTTTCAACATGTTTTATTATTGATATTATTATGAATAATGGTCGTAAATACCTACGTCGACAATTATTTATGGATAATAGACAATCTGCATTCTTACTATCTTGAAATAGAATTTCATACCCGTTTGCAAAAAAACTTAACTAATACTTCGATTACATGAGATCATTACTATTTACAGGCATGAGCAAAAACTAGACGTAATAAAGACAAAATCATGAACCAAGAGTTACAAAATATATATGTTTATAACATCTATTATCAGCAAGCACCTTTGGGTAAAGTCTGGCATAAAACCTGTCTCTTAACGTCTTTACATGTTTGGTTGCCATATTAAAATTTTTGAAAAATAATTTGTTTACGGAATAAACGTTTGAGAAACATTTGGAAAAAAAGATTAGCAAACCAATAAGTTTTATAAAAAAAAATAACGTTTCTACAAACTGTTATTGTAATAATAAATGCCTTGTGTAATTTTTCATACAATTTTAATCATTTATATTTCGTTTTTAAATTGCCTTCACCATTGTATCCATATTCAACAAGGGCGTTCTGCCCATTAATGTATATTCAGGTCCCACTATTATTTTAATCTGTCATGAAGTGTTTATGTACTTTAGTCTGATTTCTTATAGAAAGTGCTCTTCTCTTGGAAACGTTAAATTTCATTTCTGAAGGTCTTGTGAAAGAATTAACACTTCAATAGAGGATTGCAGAGATTCAAATGAACCACCAAAACGTAAAGTAAAATTATCTTTAAACTGTGCTAAAAAAATATTGTATTTTCTTTAGTTGTACACCTTTATATTTTTATTATTTGTTCATGGTATAGACAATATTTCTTCAGATAATAAGAAAAATATAGAGATAATAGATAATTCTGACTACTGTAATGTTCGCAATATTATATACCATCCTTGAATTTTCTCCAATATGTATTTTATTTACAAAACCAATTCGATCTTCAAATAACGTGTCATTTAATATTAACTTAATTTTTTTGGCAACACAACATTATCCTACATATCATGCAATATAAATTCAAGAAACCGAACGTCGGTTCCTCGGGTACTTCTCTGTTTATCCTCTTTAGATATGCGAGTACTAATACCTTCTCTCAAAAAAAAAAACTGAGAAAGATCCAGTTTCATGTACTGCACTTATTGCTCCAAATACAAAGAACTGCTTCGTTTGCCTAGTGGTTAGAGCATCCGCCTCTGATTCGGAAGGTCGTGGGTTCGATCTCCAGTCGAGTCATACCAAAGACTTGCAAAAATGGTACTAACAGCTTCCTCGCTTGGCGCTCAGCATTAAGAAGTTAGTATTAGGACTGGTCGGCTTGGTGTCAGGATAATGTGACTGGGTGGGACATCATGCTATATGTCTATGGTATAATGCCCCAGTGCTAGACATCACTATAAACTGCCACACTGCAGACATCGTAGCGAAATGACTGAAAAATTGCTTAACTACGTTAAAAATCATAATCACATCACATCCAAATACAAATTCCCAAATGCCAATTCAAAAGTTTGTATTAAATGTACTCTCATATCATCTCATCCTACGCTTTTTGCTATTTTTCATCAGTTTCACAAATTATATTACGTCATTTTGTGCAACTTGAATAATAATCTTAAAGATTGTTCTTGGCTAAGCGTAGGAATTTTATCGTGTTTGAGATTATCTATTTCATTTTCCTTTTCATGAACATTTTTAATAATAATTCTTCCCTTTTTTATCGAATTGAATAGTAACAATTTCATTTTCATCTTTAATTATTTTTGTTATTATTTTATTCATATTGTTTCTTTTTCTTATGTCATCAGTATCCTACCTGTTTCTTCACATCTTCTATCCATTTCATTCGGGATCAAATAATATTTCCTATTAAATTTTCTTTGCATATAATTTCAAAAACTTATTTTAGACTCCAATAGTTCTATATTAGAAAGTTCTAAGGACTGTATTCGTTGTATAAGTTCCCTTTCTTGTTTGAATTTAGACTTCTTTTACATGAAGAGTATGAAATGTTTTTTTTCTACGAATTTCGATCAACATTGCATCTAAAAATAATGAATATGATATAGTAATATTTTTAGATCTGAAATTGACACATTGTCAATATTTCCATCATAATTTACTACATCGTATTGTATTTTTATCCTCTTCATAACATGTTTGATTCATTGATTTATTTTGCATCTTCCAGTAAACTTATTAAATTACCGAAGTCCTCCATAGAAAGACTAATATCAGGCACAGCCTATAAGCCAGTTTATTATTATCGTGAAGTGGTCAGTTCGATAACTTGGTTCAATGTCACTTTTTCTACGTTTGGCATAAGAGATCCAGACGAAAGAAATATATCCTACCAAGTTTGTTTTTGAGGAGTATTTCTTCTCCGTCTATATAACTTTGATTCTGCATATAATGTTCTGAATTTATCAACGGAATCAAAAGTTTATTTTATAATTAATAATACATTTGTAGCATTAGGGTTCTTTATATGCAATAATTATATGTTATAATTCTGGATCTTGAACCATGTTAAAGTCCCCACACGCAAAAATAGACACATATTCTATAATATCATCTACATTATTGTAAAATTCTGATCATTATTTATCTCATATATATTAATTGAGAAAAGTTCCTTTCATCAACTTCAAAAAATCGAGTGCAGTAAAGCTTCCGTTAGTATTTAGTTTACATATATTCATACCATATTAACTGTATTTATTTAATTAAATAAAATTTTTAAAGTTTGGCCTAGAACAACTGCAAATACATTCGTAACACCATTGCGCTCTAATATCAGAACGTTTATCCTCCGTAAAACGTGTATTTTGTAAGCAGTAAAACTATTTTCGTCCAATATAATTTTTATTTTTAAAAAAATCCTTACATTGTTCAATATCTCCAAGTCCCCAACAGTTAGCATATGTCATTTGTATATTTGAGCTATCCATTTTCTGAATAATAGTATAAATCCATCATGGATATAATACACCATATTTTTTAGATTAACATAGTAGATCCTAAATACGACAAAGAGATGAAGAAAATATACACTGTCTCCATCTGGAACCGCAAACACTTTTCGAAGTACGGCTGCCACAGTTATTCAGGCTGACGAGTTCGAGCGGCAAGTAGGCCAAATCCATACTCGCACTAAGACTCTTCGAAGAGTACATGCACGAACTATCTGGGTGTCACTTTGTTAGGTTAGCTACGATGTCATATCCTCAACGTAGTTGAGGCAACGATCTGATCATATACCTTACGATGCCGAAAAAAAAAATATTGCCAAAGACATATAAAGCTTGCCATGCCATACTCGGATATTAGACAATGGTATTCAATGCATACCATATCACTAAGATCTGTTGACGTTTCCAATTAAGACAACGATATCCTTATGTGGTACCCAAAACGAGGCTGAAAATGAAGTAGTTATCTTCTGAGCTAATATGGCGGTCGATTCAAAAGAAAAAGTCATAAAGAAGATTAATGATACGTATTTCTACAATGATATGCAGCAATTCCGGTATTAAATAAGAAGAATATTTGACATATTTCAGTACGTGTGAGGAACATGTTAAAAATGTATTAGGCCTATATCAGACTGAAAATGTGTCTACTCATAGGCTAATTTTAGTACCTCGTCCACAAAGTAGTGGTACTAATATAATACCATTTGTTACTTGTGAGTTTCTTGATATTGGTCTGTCGCAGCATAGATAGTTTCGAGGTCGTGGCTACGGCACGACGCCAAGTCACATTCAGCTGGTGATCCTGTTGATCTGCCATGTAAATACAGTCTTGGGGAGCTAAACTTTGATGGCGGCCTCCCGGTGAGCATTAAATCGACAAGTTCGAGCGCCTAAACCAAGAAATATCAGCTAAGGTTTCTTGTTGACATAATGGGTTATACCCGCTTCTCAAAAGATTTTAAAAAACTTAGGCATTAAAATTAATTACCTTCGTAAGCCTTTAAATTGTAAAATGCGTTAATACTCAGTTTTTCATACTTTTAAAATCGGCCTCTCCCTGCATGTTGCCTCCCCTAGGCACCTGCCTTGTCTGCCTAATGGGAACTAATCAAGCCTGTGAAATTCGTGTAATTTTTTATGATTAACTAATTAGCTATTAAAATACATGTTTATAATTGATATCTATTGTTTAATAACAACAAGTGTTACGAACAGAGAGGTGCTCGGTATAGTCGGCATACCATTGTACCGCTATATTATTTTCTGGTGGTACGCACCACGGTACTTCATCACCGTACCGGTACTGCATCACTGTACCGGTACTTCTTTAGTTTCCATCAGTAAGAGGTGTGCAAAAATTCACTTATAAAATGAAGTATGTTTTCATTTCAATGGCAAAATAATTATACAAAATATTATTATTTTGTTTAAGAAAACAGTTGCATTGGTCGCATTTTCATTTTGAATGTTACAAGTATAATTATATTTATTTTACGGGACTCGAGTAATGGCGGCTATAGGTGGAAAGTAGTAAAAGTGGCTCTGTAGATTTTGGCAGTTATAAGTGGTTTATTTTACAGTGAAATGGTTCATATTTGTTGGGATGATATGTGAATATTCAAGGAATGCATGGTATATAATATTTTTTGTGGATCACACTCAATTTTGAAACAAAAGTGTTTTTCCACTCAAATTCATACATGATGGACTAGAAAAGGGAGCTTACTGGGTGCAGTTTTGAGCCTTTCTCTACCTGATCTGATTGACTCATTTACTTATTTCAGTGTTATTACCTGACTATTTTTGCTTTCATTTTAAGAATTATTTGATACATGGTGAGTAATAATCAGTGTCACAAATGAGTAATGAGAAAAAATTAGTCCAAACAAGATTAGCTACAAGCAGGAGTGGAAAGAAAGACCAAGACAAGCAACAAATGAAAACCATATTACAGAGTGGGTCCCTAATGGAAACATCTGACACAAGTTTGAGTGAATCAAGTTTGAGTACAATTCAGCTGGACTTAGATGAAATAAAGCAAAGCCTCACAGGGAGCATTTCCAAAGCGGATTTTATATCTGCTATTGCTGATTTAGTGAAAAAAAGATGACCTACAGAAATTGTCTCTACTATTGTGAAGAAATTGTTAGAGAATGTAAAGGAAGATCTGAGAAAGGAGATAGCTGTAGAAAGTGAAAGGGTAGTAAAGGAGAGGACAGGAGAGCTGATGGATAGGGTGGAATCACTGGAATTCGAAAACCACCAATTACGAGAAAAACTACAAGAGGCAAAAATGGACAATGATCAAATGAAAAAAGACATGAAAGAGTATGGCAGGAGATCAAAACAAGCAAGTGCAGCCTCAAACCAAATGGAACAATTTTCAAAGAAGCTGAATGTTAAAGTTTTAGGGCTGGAGGAGAATGAAATTCTGAGAAAGAAAATTCCGAAAGTGGTGAAAAAAGTCACAAAGATTAATTTGGATAACAGGGACATAGTGGCTGTACATAGAATTCCAGGCAGACAGGGACAGCCAAGGCCAGTGATTGTCAAATTCTGGATTGTAAACTTTCAATTATCAAGAAGCGGTAAGACTTTTAAACAGAGCAAAGGAATTAGACTGGTAGAGGATGTGACGAAGATGAATACTGAACTTATCAATAAATTATCCAGGCATCAGGAGATTGATAGTGCATGGTACTTTAACGGTTTTGTGTATGGTAAATCTAACTCGGGGAAAAGGATAAAATTTGACATTTATGATGATATTGATGAGAAAATTAGAGTATAAGTGCCATATACAACTTTATATAATCCTGAAGATAGCCATATAGGTTTGTGAACCTTTCTTTTGGATACTCTCATTTCTGCTCTAATTTTTTTTTTTATTTTTTACAAGTTTTTCCTTCCTTCATCAGTTCAGTTTTGTCGTTAGTTATAATAGATTTATTATTCACTTGTCAACTATATGAATCTCTCCTTAATTTATCCTCCACTAATTCATAAATCATCTTTAGCCCATATTCAAATTTACTTAGTTGTTTATTCATCATATTCAACACTACTCATCCTCGTTCAATACTTCAGCTCTCTCATTCTTGCTCAGTTATTCAGTCATTCACTATATTCAAGTATGCTCTTCTTTCATACTTTCTTCCCCTCCCTTCACCCCTTTCCTTCTCTCATTCATTTTGTAATTTATACTACTATTAATCTGTGCCTATTGGAAATTTGTCAAAGGCGATTAAGAGTTATCATAAAT